CACTGAGAAAAATTTCCATAGGATAAACCGATTAAATAGCGTATCCGATTGTTAATTTTGTTATCCGATTAAATGATAGGTACCTTTATCCGATGAAATACAGTTGTCGAGAAAATTTTATCGAAAAGTTAGTCGCTCTCTGTATATCCGTTGAATTTTCATCGGATAAAGTAATGGTATATCCGATGAAAGGTATAATAACCGTTGAAATCGACAACGAATATTATCGAAGAGGTACGAACATTTCCGATTCCGCGGAAACTAGCCTGCGCGATTGCATCATTCGTCACCATCGTCACTGTGCAAACCACGCTGTGCAAGTTCTATCAAGCGCGAGGTACGATTGGTGTCGCGACGAAGTGTCTTTCTCGTTCTCCTAAGTTATACTCGAACCGAGAACTGTGACAATGTGTGACATACGCTCTACATTAGAAGAAATTGGCACAGAAGAGGAAATCATTGATCTACTAATAAGTAAGTACGTACTTCTTACGTGAAGAGTTTCAACCTAACCTAACACACACGAATTCAATTTACATTGCGTGCAATTGTGTGTTCTTCTTGCTGTACTGGATGTACTAGTACAGAGGTTACTTTTTCTCTCTACATTGAAAGATATAAGATAACCTCTATACTAATGCAGTTAATGCAGCAAAAAAACAAACCCATTATTTCTGGATTGATAATGGACGAGTCGGTATGTTTATAATTATTGTGCAATTTTATCTGTGTGCTATATTCCGATACACTACCAGTACTAAAATTAATTAAAATATTCGTGTTACAGCTATAATATTTTCAGTACTGGCAATACATATATATCGGAACGCAACTATAGAGAATCGCGCAACAATCGTCGGTAAACATACCAAGTTGTCCATTATTATACTAGAAATATTATAAATAAGTTGAATTAGCGTGTGTTAGATTGGTTCTATATCAATGTCATTTTGTGTTTCCGCTTTGCAATGTGATTGCGACCATGATTGATTGCTGGGGCTCGATTCTTCAATTTATTCCAAGGAGAAACGTATGTGAAAATTCTGCTCTTACAGAAAAGCTGCAAGTCGATTGGTTACTCGCGTGGCTTTAACCAATCGACTTTCAGCTTTTAGCAGAATGTTCGTGTAGGTTTCTTCTTCGAATGATTTCGAGAATCGCCGCAGTGCTGTCCGAGAGCGGCCTTTGGTAGCACGGTCGCATAGGGAGGGGATGACGCACACAGCGAGCGACCGTGTCCGTGTGCGCCCAGCACGGTCGCTCGCTTATGTGCGTCATCCTCTCCCTATGCGACCGTGCTACCAAAGGCCGCTCTCGGACAGCAATCGGACCCCTGGACTTATCGTTCGTCTCGCACATCGGCTACTTCGCATGTGATTGGGCAGTGCTCGTTTGCTATGATTGGTTGCTGGACTTATTGTTCGACTCGCGCATCGGCTACTTCGCGTGTGATTAGGCAGCGTAAGGTTATGTGACCCCCTCAGCGCGCCTGATTAACTCGTGCAGCAAATTCGCGATCGTGATTCGTGCTGCTATCCCGGTCGCGGCATTCGTCCTTTCTTGTGCCTGAGCAGACGTGTTTCGACGCATTTGTCTACTGACTTGTGCCGTGCAATAGTATTCCAAATCTGTACGCTAGCGGTCAAGCGATCCCGTCTGCTGATACAGTATTTCGTGAGTCAATAAAAGCAGTAAATTCTAGTATAATTAGAACATTGATTTCTATACAGTACTATACTACTATCGCTGGGCTGAAAAGTAAGAAAATTCTGCCATGTCACATGTGTATAAAGCTAACCCAGTAAG